CATACATAAAACACAAATGTAGATTATTCTGCAGTAGACGTTATGAAATGCAAGCAGTTGTTGAAGGTTGCCTCAGTTTGATTTTTGAAGGAGGAAGTAGTCTAAGGACAAAGTAGTTCTAATGTCAACTCAAAAGTTTGGGGAGACTTTCTAGTTTACTAGCTGAGGGAGGTAAGTGGAATTTTTCCCCCTGTGTTCAGCAGCCAGTTTTCGCTGAGTAATCTTGGGTGTCCACCAGAGTGCAGGCCTAACCATGACATCCTCAGTTGTTCTCAGGTTCTCTTGGTCCGCATACCCAGAGTTTGATCTCCATAATGGAATAGATAAAAGCCTGAGCAAGATCATTACCTAGCACTTGATAAGTTTATAGCAAAGATTTTAAAATTCACAATTTACTATCAAAGTGTTTCCTCTCATACACATAAATGATAACTAAACCTAGGAGGGGAAGAGGGAAGAGATCCTTCCTTAAGCTAAATTTGCTGTGATCTGCTAAGTGTGGTGCTTTGCAAATAGCTCCTTCTGTTTTCAGCCAGAAGTCAGTTCTTCCCACCATGTCTCATGTTCAGTTTCCCAAGGGAGACTTGCCCAGAATACTAAACTGGGACATAGCGTTTATGATTGCTTTCCTGAACAGGCAAAACTCTGATTTATGAGAATTTGACCCTGAGACGGGATATATGTCCCTCAATGAAGATAAATTTTCCGTCTTTGGTATTAGCAAACACTCATTTTCCAAGACTTTACTTAGATGTTGAATAGGAGGAAAAGGTTGAAACAGTTTAGAGCTCTGCACTGTAATCCTTAAATGCCTCTATCAGAAAAGGAAATTACAAAAGACAGGAAAAGATTAGGAGGTCAGACAAAGGAAGCCTTTTCATGCTCAGAGTGAGATTTAGACAATTTCCACTGGGTTGTCATTCTTAGCCTTGAAAGTTTAGAATGGGGAATCTCAAGAGCTAAGATTGTCTCCTTATGAGAAGATCAAACCAGAAAGGAAACTGAAGCAGAACTGGCTCAACATTTTCTCTAGAATACTGAGGAGGATCAGGGCCAGTCCAGCTCAGTGAAACCTGTCCTCCAAGTCTTAAAATGGCCACCGAGCTAGTGTCTTTAAACTGGTGGGAGGAGTCCCACAGTTTATCATGTTGGCATGTGTATCTTTTAAGTATGACCCAGACTTCATAAAAAAGACCCAATGTACACAATTAATATTAACATCCTCTAGGGCATGCTGTAATATTCTTTCTAGTGCTATTGTCCAAAGCAAATTCAGCAACTAGCATAAACAGGATTGGGAAGAAAAATATATCATTAAAGAAACATCATAACTTATAATAATTTCCTCTTTTTAAACTTAAATTTATCATCAGTTTTAAAAAGCTTTTTAAAACTTAAAAAGCATAAGAAATTGCAAACAATGTGCAGAGACACAACAGAATTTGAAGCATAAAAACTTTATCTGGCAAGGAAAAAGGAACACTTCTCCCACTGTTAGTGGGAGTGCAGACTGTGCAGCCACTGTGGAAATCAGTATGGAGATTCCTCAAGAAATTACGATTGGAAGTTCTATTCAATCCAGCTATTCCCCTCCTGAGTATTTTCCAGAAAAATTGAAAAGGTCATGTCACAGTGATATATGTGCCCCCATGTTCATAGCAGCACAATTTGTGATAGCTAAATCTTGAAAACAACCAAAATGCCCATCAACTGCAGAGTGGATAAAAAAGTGTTATTTTTATATAATGGAGTACTATTCAGCTATAAAAAGGATGATCTTGATGGCCTTATAGGTAAATGGAGGCAACTTGAGAATATCCTCATTAGAGAAATACACAAGACTCACATTAGTAAATATCACATTGTTTGTAGTATAAAAATATTAATAACTGACAGAATAATGGGATCCAAAAAGTATAATAGATATTGTAAAAGTGAAATGGAAGGAAAGAGCTCTAAAGGATATAATGGTATGTATAGTATGGAAGATAGATGACCATATTACTAAATTGCTATTAGATCATTGAACAGAGGAGATTGCACTTCAATGTTTGAATGCCTAGCCACTTTTTTATGCTTTGATTTTGTAACTTTACTATTATTAAAATGACAATATGTAATATATCAACCAGCGATTTTATGATTTAATTTTTTTGAATTCTGTATTCTACTTTTTGCTTGTTATTTTTCTATTTTGTTTTTTAAATTTTCTCTTCTTTCCTTTAAACAAAAATTTTTAAAAAAGATTTGATTATCTAAATGAGTCCTAATCCACAATCTGTGAAACAAATGCAAACTCCTATTTTTTACCCAATGATCCAGGTTTGCTGGCCATCACATTCCAGACAGCTAATGTTGTGAGGACATCTGGGGTCCCATCTGGTGGCCAGACTGGCTATTGAGGACAGTAGTTTCTGTCATTCTCACATTCAGTCATTCAGAGTATAAAACATTCCCTGCCCACTTTGGAAATTTTCCCGTCTGGAGTCTCACCCTGAGACTGAGATGTGATCTGTACTCAGACAGGCCTAACTGGATTCTGGATGGGTGCCTTTCCTTGTCCTGAAGTCTTGGTGAGACTTTATCCTCTTCCTCCCAAGTCTGGTCTAGGAAGTGTAGGAGGGGGTTGGTTATCTCCATCCAAGGAAGGAGGCCACCAAACTGGGGTGGTAGCACATTTTATTCCCTGAGTGAGGGCTCCCTGAAGCCACCCCAACTCCTGTCTGAGCTGGTGGCTCAAAGGGCCAGTGTGGTTGTTCCTAGGGATATACCAGTTGTGAAAAGCAGGCTATCAGGCTGCATTTGATGGCATAAAGGAACCAAAGGTGCACATTAGAAAGGCAGAGATAGGTTTTATTTGGCCAACCTGGCTCAGAAGGGCTCATGTCTCAACTTCTGAGTGCTGAAGAATGAGAGTGTCACAAAGGTTTTTAATAAATTAGTGGCAGAAAAATGAATTCCAAACTAGGACAGTTATTTAAAAATGACAGATACATACCTCTGGATATTTTGCTCACCTCACTCAGATATAAACTCTAAGATAAAAGGAGGCAGGTTGGGGGCAGGCATGGCCCTGCACTCACATGTCAAAGTGTGGCCTGAGTCGCAGGAGGGGAGGAGTGTGCTCTTATGGGCAAAAGCTATTGTGCTCCTGGGAGGCAGAGACTCTCCCTTAAAATACACCAAATTCTCCTTCACTTGGTTTTAATCTCTGGTCTTTCTAGGTATTCTCAAATGCCTGATACATGTTAAAAACTATAAGTAGTGAAATTGAAGCAGAATTTAGAGAAAAATTAGTTTTTCCTCCACTTTCAAGCAATTCACTCCTCAAATTCTACCTCTCTGTAACCACTGACCTCTGCTGTGATATAGACAATTTTGTTCCTGTACACAGAGGACATCTGTCTTCCTTAAAAAGATACAAATAACACTGACATTGATATTCCTGTAAGCAGAGTCCTGTGACATCCTAGACTCTGTCTTCCTTCAAGGCTAAGTTGTTAAACTGTCACTGAGTAAATAACTGCCTTTGTCTTTAACTGGAAGAACACTTTGAACCTTATGGGAGGTTTGGAACTAGTTACCTTGTCAATCAGGCATGCTGTGGCAGCCACAATACGTATGCATTTAGACACAGAGTCTAAATGTTTATAGATGCAAACTGCAGGTTAGCTCATAGGCTTTGAGTAAGGACCTCCAATGCTATGCTCTATCTCTCAGCTATAGATAGGATAAATGACTTACCTAAATTAGGAATTCCATAAACAGGAGCAGACAGTCATCTAGTCCAATCCAAGTACTAAAAAATTAGCTACTAGGTCTAAGTTTAGCCTCATAGAGAGGATTAGCTATGAGTCCAAAATCTGGAATCTAATTTTTGCAAAATCTAGCTACCCCTAAGAATTCCCTGAGCTACCTTTGGTTTGAGGAAGCTTCAGGTTTTTTGAGGAGAGTTATCTTTTTGAGACAGGGTCTCACATTTGCAGTTGAGGCTGACCTTAAACTCACTTTTTAGTCCAGGCTGGCCTTGAATTCAACATGATCCTATGTCAGCCTCCTGAATGTTGGGATTACAATCATGTACCACCATGAAGGGTTGTTTTGTTTGCTTCAAAAATGATCTTTATTTTTCTAAAGTTAATATGTACATTACATACATAAGAAACCTAATATACTGCTGTGTATATAATGGGAGAATAAATTCAAATTTTTTGTAACATTTTGCTCTTAAATCTTAAAGAGATTGCCATTGTATGATGAAGTAGTTAATAAATGTAGCACATTGTGTACATTTTGTTTTTCAATACACAGAAAAACTTATCTCCAAATTATTTTTGATACAGGGTCTCATTGTATATTTCAGGGTAGCTTTGAACTCACGATGTAGCCCAGGATGGTCTAGAACTTCCAGTGATCCCCCTGCCGCAGTTTCCCAAGTGCTGGGATTACAGGCATATGCCACAACACTCAGCCTGTAAATGAATTTTGTATTTCACTATCTGTAACATTTCATACGACTGTACTTGTCCACTAGGTTGGAGGCAGAGAGAAGGAAGTGAGAGGGAATGGCTCAAGGCCAAAATGGTCATATTTAGAAGATACCTCAGATCACAACCATTGGTGCATGGTTGCACCATGCACTCTATTTATCAGTGTGTATGATAGACAAATTCTTAAGTGAAAAATTTAGATATGTAGAAGTGCTCAATAGATTTAAAAGTAGAAGTAATAGAATAATACTTCCTATAAATAGCTTTTTTAAACTGATGAGAAATAATATGTTTACAAATAGGATGCTTAAGCTACCTCTGAGCAGTATACTGTTCATACTTGCTCACTGGGTTGGAGGGTAGGAGGGAAGACATTGTAAAAGGTGTTTTGTTAAGTGTATGGTAGACAATTTTAACTTATCCTTGCTCTTATGTTACATGAATTTCATTTAACTTTGCTATATTGTATGTACAGTGTATGTACTTGATATATGATTCCTAATTTTAAAATAACTAGTATCTAGATATTAAAGAGGTTATCAATGTATGACAAAAATATAGTTAGTAAACTAACATGTTTCACATACTTTGTGTTAAAATTCATAGAAAGGCTGTCTTCTGAAAAGGATGTTTGGAAGTATAATTGTAAAATCACATTTAAGTGACACATGTATATCACATTTGGCAAAGAGGAAGAGCCTGAGAGAAATGAAGCATTCTAGGTCAGAGTTCTCCTGTATAGAAGACACTTTCAGATGTAACCGTTGTTACAGGTGTGTAGTTTATTCAGCACTACTGTGTACAGTGTATAGTGGACAAATGTGAGTCTGTGTTTTAATATCCATTTTTTACACGCACAAATTATGTAGAAGAGGTAAACAACATGCTTTGTAGATATCTTTTTGTTAAAATTAATAATGAGATACTCTCCTTAAGAAATAAAGTGCTCAAACCACTGACCTGAGCAGTAGATGTATTTGTCCTACTCAGAGAGGAAGGAGGGAAAGAAAGTGCAAAGGGCTCTGTGTCATGTGGATGCCCAGCTGCATATGGCCTGGGGCTGCCACAGGAATGCTGGCTCTAAGTTTGGTAAAGTAACTGCAGCACAGCCACTGGAGTTCCAAGCCTCCCGTCAGGTTTAGAGTGTTATCGAAGTCAAAGGACATCAGTTACTTACAGAGGATGGATAGCTGAATTTGAAGCCCTCCTGCTAGACTTTCCAGAGCTTACTTTCAAGATCTGCCAGATTTTTAATTCAGCAACCTTGTTTTCCACCCCAGGGAAATGAGCTATTCTATTTCACTCCTGTGTGGAAACTATAAAGCAAGCTTACTGGAGGAGACCTGATGTTAATGACCAGCTTTTAGATAACCCTGATGCAGATGGCAATCAGGTTAATGGAAGCCAAACAGACAGCCAAGCTTTGACAGTTTCGTAACAACATATACCAGTGGTCTTGGTTGGGTAAAAACAGGATGTTGTGAGAACATGATCTTATAAAGCTTTACTTACAGGGACAAAGTTACTCATTTTATCTGTATTAGAACAAATAACAGATGAATGTTATCATTATGTATATCTCAAATGTACCAGTAAAGGGGCAGGGATTTAGCTTAGTGGTGTAAGCGCTTGCCTGGCAAGCATGAGGTCATGCGTTTGATCCCCTATACCAAAACCAAACAGACAAACCAGTAAATAAATAAGTAAATAAAATAAAATAAAATGTACCAGTAAAATAAAACAAAGAGAATGATTGTGTAACAAGTTTCACAGTACTTGACTCTTGACTTTGAGACATATGAATAAAGAGGCTTGGAGCGTATGTAAAGGAGATTCCTTAATATTGAGGTTTCAATTTGCAACCATTTACTTATGAATGTTTCAGTTTTCTTTATAGTGGAGTGAAATAAGTCAGACACACAAGCTTAAATACTATGTGATTTCTCACGTATAAGAAACTCAATGTACGTGCAAAATAGAAGATAGATAAACAGGAAGTAGAGAGATCTTTTTCAAGTGGATGGGTAGACAAAGTATGGAAGGAGGAGTGAAGCAAGGGAGGGAGAAGAGGATGGGAAAATATGAAGGGAAAAATGAGGAAAATAGAACTTTTACAAATGGGAAAGCGACCAGGAGTTAGAGGGAACGGAGAGGGAAGAAGAAGTAAGATGTGTTATGTGCAGGTACCAGCTTCCCACAATAAATGGAATCATTATGTGCTGCTGACACGTACTAAGAAACAAGCGAAGAGAAAGAACTGTAGCAAAGAGAACAAAGAACAGCAGCCACTCGGAGAAGGAAGCCTGAAAGTGAACTGCTCAGGTAGGGAAAACTTTTCTTTATTTCCTTCCTTCTCTCTCTCTCTCTCTCTCTCTCTCTCTCTCTCTCTCTCTCTCTCTCTCTCTCTCTCTCTTTCTTTCTCTCTCTCCCTTCCTTCCTTTCTTTCTCTTTCTTTTAAAAAACAAAACAGAAAAAAGGATACAAATGATACAGAATTTCAAAACAAAGTAGGAAATTAACACTAGTAAATATATTGCATATTGCTATCACAGAACCAGTTGTTCATGTTACAAGATCTAGGCACAAACCATCCTGCTTCAGTTCTGCACGGCCTGGCAGAAGGTGGCATGCTCACTGTGATGGAGGGTTGGTTGCTGATGGTTTTGTGGTTCTGACTTCACCCGTGGAATAATCATTGTCAAAATCATAATCTGATGCATTACTGAGAGGTAATGGCAACAGGAGGGGGATTTTGTAGAGGGGAGTAGAATGTGGTGGAGAGACCTGAGGACTACATCTGGTACTTGACCCCTTCCTCTTTGGGTCTCTCTGTTCTGTCTCCGGATAGCAATGTGGTGACCAGCTTCCTTCTGGAATGCCTTTGTACCACAGTGTTTCTTGTGATGGGTGATTGAGTAAGAAAATTTGAGTAAGAGAAACTCCATCAGTTGGTTCATCAAAGACACACCCTAGAGTGACTTGTCACTTGGATGGTATATAAGGGAAACAGAAAAAGGATGGATCTACTGGAGGAGTTTCAGTCTTCACTTTCACATTGGACGTCATCTTCTGGCTTCCAGGATAGACTCTTTGGCCTTCTGTTGCAGATCTGACAGCCTCCAGATACAGACTCGCACAAGAGACTGCCGTGAGTTCCATTCCTCGGACTGAATCCTTCAGTCTTCCGTGTGCAGGCATCCTCTGTACTCTTACTCATCTGACTCTGTAAGTGGCCATTGTAGGCTGATCTTGTAAGTTATTTTATATGCATATATCTTGTTATTTCTGTTCCTCAAGTAAACACTGGCTAAATACACTTATCACAGGTGTAAGGCAGTGGAGCCAGCAGCCAGGGACTAAACTTTGGAAACTAGGAGACAAAATAAATCTTTTCTCTTTTGTATTTCTGAGGTATTTGTTGTAGTTGAGAGGACAATACAGATATTTAAAAATTAGAACTTTAAAAAATTAGTCTATATTGTGCTTTTTTTTTTTTTGAGAAAGCATCTTGCTAAGTAGTTCATGTTAGCCTGGACTCACTGTGTAGCCCAGGATGGCCTCAAATTTGTGATGATCCTCCTGCCTCAGCTTCCTGGTTGATAGGATTACAGGTGTGTGCTGCCACATCTGGATTTCTGTATTATAGTTTGAAAAAATCATTTTTGTGAGGTATGGACTTACCCTAGATGTATGTATAATTCAGACTTAATTTTGTGTTACCTTTGAGGAAACTTTAAAACATCTCATTTCAGAGTGAATATTCAAATAAAATAATGTTTCTGTATTAGCTAGCTTAAGTGAAGTATGTCTTAAGATTGTCTTTTATCTAAACAAAATAGCACATAGTTTAGTTTCAGTGGAAAAGAGAATTTTTAAAATACTGTGCCTATTTCTGAAGATTTGAAGTGGCTATGTTATGCTATGAAAACTAGATAATATTTATGGAAGATAGTTTTAAACAGTTTGGGAGTACATTTTAGTCTGAAAAACAGAATTAAATTTATGCTTAGTCATGTTAAATGTGTTATTTTAACTTGTGACATACAAAATCTGAAAGATAAAAATTGATGAAATGGTTTTGCCAATTATATGGAAAATTAGAAGTATGAGAACTAAGTATGCAAGTGAAAAAAATGAGCTTTAAATACGATATTTTCATAGATTTATACTCTATTTTACCAATAATTATTTTTGTCTTACATGAAATCACTTATCATTTAATTTTTGCTTAAGTCCTAGCAGTGTTTTATTATTCATAGTTTGCTTACCATCTCTTTGAACCAATAAAACATAGTGAATATGATATAAATAAATAAATAAATCGCTGATATCTCTAGCTTCCTCATGGTGAAAGCAATTTTCAACAGAAGCAGACTTTCAAAATTTTTTTCCTGGGTTCTCTCCTGGGCCAACGCCAGGCCTATTTCTTTCTCCATACATTGGCATCCTGCTGGGATCTGTGACTGGGAGAAAGGAATGTCTGTTCTCCCAATCTGACCAAAGTTTGAATAAACTAAATTTTATATTTTTGTGGGCTGTTTTTTATTCTTGATGGTGGCCAGGCACCTGAGTGCAGATACTTTGTGGAGGCCTTCTGAGTGCTGAGGTTACAAGTATGCACCACCACATCCCTGCTAATCATAGAGTTTCAAAAATCTGAAGCTTTTAATCAAGAAGAAAGCACTAAGCCTTTATCACGAAGCAGTCATTTCTGTTAAGCTGAGTTTTGAGTAATGTTATTCAAAGGACAGTTTCCCCCCTTAACCATACCAATAATGGTATAAGGTATTTTGCGGTTTGTTTTGTATTTATTTATTTATATATTTATTTTTCATATTGGGAATTGAACTTCAGACCGTGCACTTGTCAGGCAGGCACTGTGCCACTGAGTTATATGACTTTTGTTTTGTTATTTATTTATTTATTTAATTTGTTTTGAGACAGAGCCTTGCTAGGTAGTATAGGCTAGCCTTGAATTTGGTAGGTAGCCCAGACTGACCTTGACGTTGTGGCAATCTGCCTCCGCCTCCTGACTACTGGTGATAACGTTGTAAGTTTAAAGAGGAGATTTAAAGATACAGGTTCTAATCCTTACTGTAGAAGTTCACATTTGCTAAGAGGGAAGCTTCTCTTTCCTGAGTTTCAGAGCATACCTTCTCCTGCCTGGCACAGCAGCACTGGTCAGCTAGGGAGAAGAAAGGCAGAAGGAGTCTTCTGACCCTGCTGAGCTCACTGGGAACTCACTGGTAAGAGGAGAAACCTTTGGGGTGTGATGTGCAGGAGAGTGAAGATGGCTGGGAGGAGGCAGTCAGAGATGAAGGGTAAACATCTCAGGAGGAAAGAGGTAAAATACTCAGGTTTGCGATGTGAGGTTTATTGAACATACAAGTACAGTTCCAAGAGGGGACTGGGAGATGCCAGTAGAAGCAAGATTGTACTCATCTCGTGTTCTTTTCCTTGGAATTATGAGACTCTCTGTGAGAGAAATTGTTAAAATAGGCATGAAATCCTAGAAGGCAAAATTAGTATATAAATAGTTTTGTTTAATTGTTTTGCTCTTATTGCTTTTATTATTACCATGATCTCTTTCTCTTCCTGTACAGAAAAGATGGCACGAAATGTGACATTTCCTCTCCTGTTGCTGCTCGGGCTATTTGCGATACTGTGTCCACTGTGGGCTATGGGTCCACAACCACCAGCGGGCTTCACTCCAGTGTCATGGTTTCAAAAGCAGCACATACTAGAGAAACCAAAGTCATGTCAAGCAGCAATGAATGATATCAACCAGTTTCTTAATGGTCTCTGTAAGAGGTCAAACACCTTCCTTCATGTCTCTCTCCAAAATGTGAAGGATGTCTGTGCTTTGAAAGCGTTTCAGTGCAGGGATAAATCGACCACATGCCACAGGAGTCCAGCTCCTGTTCAAATGACTGTATGCAAGATCATGAAAGATACAAATTCTTGCACCTATAGAGAGAGTCACACGACCGAGCACTTCACTGTGCAGTGCATGCATAGGTTTAATGACCCTAAGATGGAGCTGCTTCCTGTTCACTTAGAATAATTTTGTAAACATTTGATCACTTTTCCCACAATTTCTAGTACAGTTTATTTTGCTTTTTCTTTTCATTTGTTTTCTTTTTAAAATTTCCTTGTCCCCACAAAAGAGAGTGAGTTTTTGGGATTGTTAGAATAACTAGGATATGGTACTAGATATGGAATTGAAAAAAATATATTTCTTTTCTGCTTTGGAGATTTGACTGTGTGAGGCAAAGCAGATATGGAAAGGGAGTAAGAGATTTAAACCCTTGAGACTTTTGCCAGATTTATACTGTATTCACAGCAATAAAACCACTTCCTACTGCATTCTGAGTGTCATTGTATTTTAGTGATTTTCAAATCAGTGTTTGCCAGTGTTTCAGAAATTATTTTGATCTTACCTCCAGAGTGTACCTTTGAGGTTTTTCTGAGAACTTAACTACCTCCTATACCCTGATGCTCAGGCACTGAAAGCCTGAAAGTCCTCTATCCCTTCAAACTCTTGATTTCATATATTTCCCTTGATGCATCCTGTATTGAAGACTCTTCCCACAGTGTCAGTTATGGGAGCCCTGCAGTGGGTTCCAGTCTCCTGTCTGGGTTACAGCACACTATGGGAGAGGGAAAGACAAAGCAAGAGACAAAGTAGAGGGGTGCAGAGCAGGGATGGGGGACCATCAGTTGCTCGCTAAGAACAAAAATCCCCAAATCTCCAGCTAGCTACCATTTTATTAGCATTGTAGGGAGAAGGGAAGGGGGATGTTTTTCCTGGTATAGTTTAGAAACTGGTAGAATAGGCGAGTTTAATATCATGAAGGAAACAAGACAAGATCCATGCCCACACCTGGGTACTAATCTCCTAGACCTAGAAAAGCTGGATTTCCACATCCCAAAGCTAGCCAGCCCACAAGGCAGGCAGAGTAAGGAGTGCCTAGGACAGATACTATGCTAATTTATAATATACCATCTCCAACAATTGTTTATAACTATTTGGAGGAGGTGATGTTGAAGAGTGGGGGGGGAGAGAGAGAGAGAGAGAGAGAGAGTGAGAGAGAGAGAGAGAGAGAGAGAGAGAGAGAGAGAGAGAGAAAAGGAGAGAGGGAGAGAGAGAGAGATGATACTTGATGCCAAACTACTTGATGCCCAAAATGAAGGAAGGAAAGGTTTATTTCTTAGTTTTTGGAGGTTTCAGTCCATATTCAGCAGGGTATCATGGCAGAGGGGCAGCTGCAAGCAACAAGAGTCAAAGGGCAAAAGAGGGAAAAACATGCCTCTTTCCCTCCCTTATATTGTATGCTGGATTTCCACTCCTGGGTGGGCGCAGCACTCGCACCAGCAACCCCAGCGCTAGACATGAACCAATCACAAATGCTAGACTCAGCCGCCTCCATGAGTGCATGAGGCTTGGGGACCACCCAGAGACAAACCATAGCAGCCCATAATCCTTTTGTCTTAGTCTCCCAGAGTGTTTGGATTTCAGGCAGGTATCACTGTGCCTGGGTTTTTTTGTTCACTTTTTCAGACAGGATTTGTCTATGTAGCCCAGGGTAGTGATATAGGGAAAAGAAACTCCCAACCTGCTAGATGTCTGATAGGAATTCATACTTTCTAAAATCAAAAAATGAATTTTAGGAAAATGAGGTTAAGAGCAGAATATATTTATTAGAAGGAAGAAAGCTTCTGTCTGAGAGAGAGACAGAAATGATCCTTAGCAGGATGCCACGGACTCTGCCTTTTCTAGGGATTTTTATGGAGCGAATACATGAAGTGAGGTGGGCCCAAGGTGGGAAAAATGGGAAATCTTGAGACAGAAACGAAGTGGGACAAAACTATGGTCAACCAATAAGGTTATGAGTATAATTGCTCAAGTAAAACTGATTAAATTCGGATTAAATGGGGAAGCAAGTCACTCAGCAAGCAGCCACGAATACAGAACAGTGGCTTTTGGCCTGTAGGGTGTTGGTTAATGGCACTTCCTGGCTTTCTAAGGTGATTAAGACCTATTTAGAATATCAGTCCCTGATGTTTATCCTTATAAAGTGTCAGGGTGCATTCATTTTACCTTTTGTCTTGAGACCTGGCCAAGAGCAGAGGTGGCTGTCTCCCCCACTATTGCAAGGTATCTCTTCTGCACTGGCTCTTTTGAGGGCCTAGCACTATGAAACTCCCTATAATATTTCTAATTTAGCTGCCTGTAACAGTAGCTTGACGGATGAGCTGCAGGGCAGAAGATGATCATTTTGTCAGTGAATTAATGGCTGTTAGGATTAAGGAGGAGATGGGTCACTGAGAGGGGTTCATGTGTGAGTCTGTATGGGCTGCTATAACACTGGGATGGTCACTACCAAGTCTATAACAGTGCAAAACAGTACCAGCTGATCAGATTTATTGGATGGGGGGGGTTTCCTTAGTGCTGTTAAAGAAGAAATTGGTGTTTTTTAAAGAGTGATCCTACATCTCCCAGGAGCCCAATAGCTAGCACACTGTCCATGGCTAGCACACTCCGTGCCTCTCCTCCAGCCCAGAGTACACTTTAATGTGCTGGTGCAGGGTGATGCCTGCCCCATCTTCCCTCCTTTTATTTTAGAATTTCTACCTGAGTGACATGAGCCAAATGGTGAGGGTTATAAATCTGTCATTTTTAAATAACTGCCTTTATTTTGGGGCTCATATTCCCACCACAAATCTAATACAAACCTTTGTAACATTACCCTCAGCTCTGAGAAGTTAAGGGGCACAAATCCAGGCTGGCCAAATAAAACCTTTCTCTGCCTTTCTGATGTACACCTTTGGTTCCTTTACATTATCTAAAAAACAGTGTGGCATTCTGTTTTCCACAATTGGTGTGTCCATGGGGAATCCACCATATGGGCCCTTGAGCCCTCTCACCTGGAGAACAAGATGTACCATTGCCTTAATTTGGGAGTTCCTGCTTTTTCAAGTGGGGTAACTGACCCCCAAACCTGCGATTCCCTAACCAGGCTCAGGAGAAGAGGAGGACAAAATTTCATTGGGATTTCAGGATTACTGTCCAGTGTTCTCATGGCATCCTATGAGTGCTCCTCTATTGCCCTTGCTGTGTTAAATTAAAATTGGTTACTTGTTTATCTACAATGAAAATTCTGTGAGGTCCATCATGCTTTGAGGAAAGGATGTGTGTCAGGAATGCCTAATATCATTGTTTGTCTTTCGTATTGTGTAGCAGAAAATGGCTCCCTCAGACAGTAGGCTTTCATCTCTTAATCGCCCACGTTGCAGTTCCTGTTCCAGTGCCTGTTGTTCTGGCCTTTTAGAAATGGCTGGTCACTGTGGTGCATAGCTGATCACTATGATACACATTGTATCAACCAGTCCACAACTGACAAACCATTGTGCCTCTGTACTTGCTGCTTGCTTAATCTATATAAACCCTAGATCACCAGATATCAGAGCCTAATAGTCTGGGAATGATCCCAGTCAGTGCCTGTTGATATAAATAAATCTCCCTCCAAATCCTATGTGTCATTTTAAAGTTTCTGTTTGCCATTGCAATTGTACAGATAAATGATCAGAAGCCAGAGAAGTAATTTGTGTACTAATTTATGTAATGATATAAATACTGTTGGTGAAGAAAAGGTTTTGGAACCTCCAGAGACTGCCTGTTTGTTCACTGCATGTCCAGATATATTATACTTCCTGAGTTCTTCTGAAATTCAATTATTTTCAGTGCTTGAAAATATACCTTCAAAGTGTTTTAATACTCAATATCAAAGGTTATATTTTTTTACCCTGAGCATGGTGCTGATACTTGTAAGAATACTAAGGCAGGAATACTGAAAGTTGGAGCCCAGCCCGGGCAATTTAGACAGAACACTTGTTAAAAACAAAAACAAAAACAAAAACAAAAACAAAAACAAAAACAGGCTGGGAATGTAGCTCAGTGCGAGGTCGCAATTTTAATTCCTAGTATCACAAAAAGTGTGCCCCCCTCCAAGCTGGTCATTCTTCCGTCAACTAAAGTTATTACATTTTTCCAGGTAATCTTTAAAAATGGGTCGAGTTTTTTCCTATTTAAATGCTTAGACATGATATAGAATATCATGCCACTAGAGGGCAGCAGATCAAGCCTAGCAGCGAGATCAAGCCCTGTTATAGAACATATGAAGAGCTCCCCCTCCGCCAAGTTTCTTTGGAGAAAAAATAAATTCATATTAAAATATTTTAAACTGAGTTATGAAATACAAAAGTATTGACATTTATTGATGGAGATAAGTATAATTCTGTGAAATCTTTACCACAATCCATGTCATAAAGCTATCCATAAGTTTCAAGAGCATGTTCCCATGCTTGTATCATTATATTATAAGAACATTTAATGTAAGATTTACCCTCTTAGAAAATTTTAAGCTGGCTGGGACTTATGGGAAGATGGCAGAGTAGAGGAAACAGCAGAGAAAACTCTCTCTCTGAGAGACACCATCTAGATGCACGAATATACCATCGTGAGGAAGACAAGAAGGAAGGAAGTGAGTCCCTTGGACCCAATAAGAGTCTCAAGTCTGAATCAAAGCCCACAGAGAGAGCAAAAGAAAAACTTCATCGAAGAAGGTGGCAACTGGTGGTGCCTTGGCCCAGAGCTGGACTCGCTGTGTGAGGGGAGCTGTTGGAACCCGGGGACTCGGTCATGGTGACAGTGGTATAAGCACAAAAAGTTTAAGGCAGTAGTGGCTTCCAATGCAGAGGGAAATGTTTCTGAAATTATTTTCCTATCCATTTTATGTCGAAAGCAGTACATTTACACTCACCAATACAGAGCAAGTCACGAATGTGTGGAATTACTGCATTCCATAAATGTACCATCTTGCCGTGTCTTCACATACAAGAGCCAAATAAGCTCACTGAAGCCCACTTTTTAAAATTTTAAAGTGAAAAAAAAAACAAAAATAATGATACAAAGTTGCAAGACAAGATAATAGGAGATTAACAGTAGTTAATATATTGCATATTGTTACCTTCAAAGTAGTTGCTTGAATTACAAGATATAAGATTAAAAAATTAATCAAACAAAATACACACAAATCATCTGTTTATTTTATAGAGACTAAAACAAAACAAAACAAAAAACAGTCAAAAGATGAAGGATTCAAAACAGGTTGTTAGGAAATTAACAATAGTCACTGCATATTGTTATCTTTAAAATAGTTGTTCAGATTACAAGATATAAGTATGCTAAACAGATCAAACAATATAAGCAATCACAGTTTTTTCCCTGAACTAGTAAATCAATAGTACAATTTTCTGTACTATCTTGTGTATATACAGATACGGATGTATATATATATTTTTCC